TCAACTTTTTTCTCGGTTTTTTGATCAAAAGTTTGGGAAATAATTGTCAGATGTTGGAATGCCATACCTCATTGAATTCGTTATAAAATTTCCAATCGGGTGGCATTCACAGCTCAAAAATTTCATTTTGGTCGGTTTTTCGCCAAAATAGACAATGTTACCCCTTATGAAAAATGCTGAAATCAGGACATCCGGAAAAATCAACTTTTTTCTCGGTTTTTTGATCAAAAGTTTGGGAAATAATTGTCAGATGTTGGAATGCCATACCTCATTGAATTCGTTATAAAATTTCCAATCGGGTGGCATTCACAGCTCAAAAATTTCATTTTGGTCGGTTTTTCGCCAAAATAGACAATGTTACCCCTTATGAAAAATGCTGAAATCAGGACATCCGGAAAAATCAACGTTTTTTTCGGTTTTTTGATCAAAACCCTGGGAAATAATTGTCAGATGTTGGAATGCCATACATCATTGAATTCGTTATAAAATTTTTAATCGGGTGGCATTCACAGCTCAAAAATTTCATTTTGGTCGGTTTTTCGCCAAAATAGACAATGTAACCCCTTATGAAAAATGCTGAAATCAGGACATCCGGAAAAATCAACGTTTTTTTCGGTTTTTTGATCAAAACCCTGGGAAATAATTGTCAGATGTTGGAATGCAATACCTCATTGAATTCGTTATAAAATTTCCAATCGGGTGGCATTCACAGCTCAAAAATTTCATTTTGGTCGGTTTTTCGCCAAAATAGACAATGTTACCCCTTATGAAAAATGCTGAAATCAGGACATCCGGAAAAATCAACTTTTTTCTCGGTTTTTTGATCAAAAGTTTGGGAAATAATTGTCAGATGTTGGAATGCCATACCTCATTGAATTCGTTATAAAATTTCCAATCGGGTGGCATTCACAGCTCAAAAATTTTATTTTGGTCGGTTTTTCGCCAAAATAGACAATGTTACCCCTTATGAAAAATGCTGAAATCAGGACATCCGGAAAAATCAACTTTTTTCTCGGTTTTTTGATCAAAAGTTTGGGAAATAATTGTCAGATGTTGGAATGCCATACATCATTGAATTCGTTATAAAATTTCCAATCGGGTGGCATTCACAGCTCAAAAATTTCATTTTGGTCGGTTTTCGCCAAAATAGACAATGTTACCCCTTATGAAAAATGCTGAAATCAGGACATCCGGAAAAATCAACGTTTTTTTCGGTTTTTTGATCAAAAGTTTGGGAAATAATTGTCAGATGTTGGAATGCCGTACCTCATTGAATTCGTTATAAAATTTCCAATCGGGTGGCATTCACAGCTCAAAAATTTCATTTTGGTCGGTTTTTCGCCAAAATAGACAATGTTACCCCTTATGAAAAATGCTGAAATCAGGACATCCGGAAAAATCAACGTTTTTTTCGGTTTTTTGATCAAAACCCTGGGAAATAATTGTCAGATGTTGGAATGCCATACATCATTGAATTCGTTATAAAATTTTTAATCGGGTGGCATTCACAGCTCAAAAATTTCATTTTGGTCGGTTTTTCGCCAAAATAGACAATGTAACCCCTTATGAAAAATGCTGAAATCAGGACATCCGGAAAAATCAACGTTTTTTTCGGTTTTTTGATCAAAACCCTGGGAAATAATTGTCAGATGTTGGAATGCAATACCTCATTGAATTCGTTATAAAATTTCCAATCGGGTGGCATTCACAGCTCAAAAATTTCATTTTGGTCGGTTTTTCGCCAAAATAGACAATGTTACCCCTTATGAAAAATGCTGAAATCAGGACATCCGGAAAAATCAACGTTTTTTTTTCGGTTTTTTGATCAAAACCCTGGGAAATAATTGTCAGATGTTGGAATGCCATACATCATTGAATTCGTTATAAAATTTCCAATCGGGTGGCATTCACAGCTCAAAAATTTCATTTTGGTCGGTTTTTCGCCAAAATAGACAATGTTACCCCTTATGAAAAATGCTGAAATCAGGACATCCGGAAAAATCAACTTTTTTCTCGGTTTTTTGATCAAAAGTTTGGGAAATAATTGTCAGATGTTGGAATGCCATACCTCATTGAATTCGTTATAAAATTTCCAATCGGGTGGCATTCACAGCTCAAAAATTTCATTTTGGTCGGTTTTTCGCCAAAATAGACAATGTTACCCCTTATGAAAAATGCTGAAATCAGGACATCCGGAAAAATCAACTTTTTTCTCGGTTTTTTGATCAAAAGTTTGGGAAATAATTGTCAGATGTTGGAATGCCATACATCATTGAATTCGTTATAAAATTTCCAATCGGGTGGCATTCACAGCTCAAAAATTTCCAGTAAAAATATCTTTTTTATAGTTGTGGAACATGCGAGTTGGTCAATTTAATTAAGTTAACATTTCTGTACTAGCTTGGTAGTTTAATATAACAAAAATCGAACGAAAAAAAAAATATATGTATGTATAGCCTTGTATAATAAGTTTCAGAACTAAATCTATAATTTATATGGTAGTTTAAAGACACAAAATTAAATCTCCCGATGAAAGCCCTAACATACAAATCCAATAAAAAACAGAATTCTTGTATTACACTTGTTTATTTTTTATTTAAAACAATGTATATACTAAATAAATTAATACAATATGTAGATAATAATATCATATAGAAACTAGCTTAACTTATTGTTAATGCAATTAATAGGAAAACGGAATTTATTTATAGCTAATTAATAAGTACTTAAAAATAAGCGTCTAATTGGTGAGGTGAAAAAAGGGACGACGACTGGTGAATCCTGGATAGCCTTGAAGGCGACACTGAAACCCGGCACAATTATCCATGGAAACATCCTGAACAATGCTGATCGCGATCTCCAAAGCGGATTCCTGTGTTTAATCTATGTAATTTAGATATATCCATTCTTAAATTTTATAACTGAAATAAAAATGTTTAAAAAAAAAATAATTATGAAAAACTTTTACTTTGGGGTGGGACTTATTAATTACAAAATCCATTGTCTATTTGTTACCTCTTTGAATTAGTTATAAAATTTCCAATCGGGTGGCATTCACAGCTCAAAAATTTCATTTTGGTCGGTTTTTCGCCAAAATAGACAATGTTACCCCTTATGAAAAATGCTGAAATCAGGACATCCGGAAAAATCAACGTTTTTTTTCGGTTTTTTGATCAAAACCCTGGGAAATAATTGTCAGATGTTGGAATGCCATACATCATTGAATTCGTTATAAAATTTTTAATCGGGTGGCATTCACAGCTCAAAAATTTCATTTTGGTCGGTTTTTCGCCAAAATAGACAATGTAACCCCTTATGAAAAATGCTGAAATCAGGACATCCGGAAAAATCAACGTTTTTTTCGGTTTTTTGATCAAAACCCTGGGAAATAATTGTCAGATGTTGGAATGCAATACCTCATTGAATTCGTTATAAAATTTCCAATCTGGTGGCATTCACAGCTCAAAAATTTCATTTTGGTCGGTTTTTCGCCAAAATAGACAATGTAACCCCTTATGAAAAATGCTGAAATCAGGACATCCGGAAAAATCAACTTTTTTCTCGGTTTTTTGATCAAAAGTTTGGGAAATAATTGTCAGATGTTGGAATGCCATACCTCATTGAATTCGTTATAAAATTTCCAATCGGGTGGCATTCACAGCTCAAAAATTTCATTTTGGTCGGTTTTTCGCCAAAATAGACAATGTTACCCCTTATGAAAAATGCTGAAATCAGGACATCCGGAAAAATCAACTTTTTTCTCGGTTTTTTGATCAAAAGTTTGGGAAATAATTGTCAGATGTTGGAATGCCATACATCATTGAATTCGTTTTAAAATTTTTAATCGGGTGGCATTCACAGCTCAAAAATTTCATTTTGGTCGGTTTTTCGCCAAAATAGACAATGTTACCCCTTATGAAAAATGCTGAAATCAGGACATCCGGAAAAATCAACTTTTTTCTCGGTTTTTTGATCAAAAGTTTGGGAAATAATTGTCAGATGTTGGAATGCCATACCTCATTGAATTCGTTATAAAATTTCCAATCGGGTGGCATTCACAGCTCAAAAATTTCATTTTGGTCGGTTTTTCGCCAAAATAGACAATGTTACCCCTTATGAAAAATGCTGAAATCAGGACATCCGGAAAAATCAACTTTTTCTCGGTTTTTTGATCAAAAGTTTGGGAAATAATTGTCAGATGTTGGAATGCCATACCTCATTGAATTCGTTATAAAATTTCCAATCGGGTGGCATTCACAGCTCAAAAATTTCATTTTGGTCGGTTTTTCGCCAAAATAGACAATGTTACCCCTTATGAAAAATGCTGAAATCAGGACATCCGGAAAAATCAACGTTTTTTTTCGGTTTTTTTGATCAAAACCCTGGGAAATAATTGTCAGATGTTGGAATGCCATACCTCATTGAATTCGTTATAAAATTTCCAATCGGGTGGCATTCACAGCTCAAAAATTTCATTTTGGTCGGGAAAATCCCACTTTTATTTCAGTTTTTTTTTATCAAAACCCTGGGAATTAATTATCAGCATTCACAGCTAAAAAATTTCAAATCATTCGTTTTTTGATCAAAACCCTGTAAAATAATTATCAGCATTAGCATTCACAGCTAAAAAATAATGGTCATATTTAGTGCTTCTTAAACTGATTGCACCATTCAGTGCTTCTGAAACGTTGGTCTTCATTTAGAGCTTCTAAAATGCTGAGCATTTTAATTTGTATCCGCTCCGCTGCGAAAAAGCATGCAACACTTTGGCAGCCCTCAAGCAATAATGTATGCTTTCTGCCAATCTTTAAATAAATTACGAAAAAAAAATACTTTCAAGCTAATAATATATATTTAACATATTATATTTAAATTTGACCGCAGCCCAGATGAATTCAACAACTTGTAGCTATCACCCTAAACCCATCTTATTTGTTCTTAGCATTTTTTCAATTCCAAGATGAATATATCTGCTGCTTTAACGATCATAACAAGAAACATTGCGTATAAAAAAAGTTATTTTTATTTCGTAAAACCAATAAAACAAAATGGATTTGTAAACTTCAATACAAAGTTAATGTAGTAAATCTTTTAAGGCACTTGTTCGCATTCTTTTGACACAAATTGGTTGTACAACAGTATATAAAAATAGACATTACAAACTATAAACATGAATAGGGACTCGCGAAAATACTAGGATACGGGATAACAATCATGATCTACGAGTCCCTTTAATACGCCACAAATCGGAATAAAAGCATTATAAAAATAGCTATAGAAAATTGCACTCTGAGCGGGATGAGGGGAAACTGGCTTAGATGTGAACTGTTTGCACCAACTCTGGCAGGTTCTGGTAATCGGGATCTCGCGCGAAGAACTCCGTGAGATATACAAAGGTAGGCCGGTCCTTGGGTCGCTCCTTCCAGCAGCTCTGCATCACGGCATAGATGTAGGCGGGACATAGATTGGGCTGGGGTAGACGTTCTCCACTGTCCACCAACTTGATGGCATCCACATTGGATATTTCACCGTATGGCGGTGCGCCCAAGGAAAACATTTCCCAGATAGTCACTCCGAAAGACCACACGTCGCTGGCGTGCGAAAAGATGCCCAGATTGAAGCTTTCCGGAGCGTACCAGCGGATGGGCCATCGTCCGCCCTGGGTGAACTGGTATTCCGTGCTGCCGGGTCTCAGGGATCGCGACATACCAAAGTCGCTGATCTTGGCCTGGTGTCGGGCGGTTAGCAGAATATTTCTGGCGGCCAGATCGCGGTGCACAAAATGCTGAGATTCCAGATAGTGCATGCCTTGGAAAACATTGAAAAGTGAATTAAAATGAAAATAAACTTTGCTTGATTACACCTACCGCACGCAATTTGCGAGGCCCAGACCTTCAGCTCCGAATTGGCCGTGATCTGGGAACCGTGATCCTGGATGTACTGCAGCATGGAACCAAGCGGAGCGAGCTCTTGCACCATCATGAGCATCTCCCCCTTCGAAATGCCAATCAGTCGCACAATGCATTTGTGCTCCAACCGCATCATCACGGAGGCCTCGCGCAGGAACTCCTGCTTATTGCTGTGCTCGTCGCTAAGCATCTTAATGGCCACCTCAACGCGGGACTCTTCACCGGAGCTGCTCTTCCTCACCAACCAGCCACTGTGCACAGAACCGAATTCCCCGTTCCCGATCTCGCTGTCCAGCATCAGGTTTTCCGGATCGATGAAGAACCTCAGCTTGGCCGCCTCCAAGGCGGTGGAGTTGAGCGTGTTGGGGGTGCCGCTGCACTTGCGATGCAGGTAACCGGCCATCTCACTCTCCGTGGAAGCTGTGGACGCTATGGAGTTGATACGCGTCACAGCGGGTGCCTTGATCTGCTGATCCAACAGCGTGAGCACGTCCACTGTGGGCTGGTATCCATTGGCACTCCACTGGCCAGCGCGCTCGCGCTCAATTGCAATATCGCTCTTCGTGAAATACTCAACTTCGGCTGCAGTCTTTTGGGCAATGGGTGGCAAGTCAATCTCAATGGGGGTATTGTTTCTGGGCACGTTATACACCTCGCCACTGACCCCAGCAACGGCTCCGCTGTCCGCATTGAATGTGGAGAATTCCGTGGAGAAGGATAGGCTCTTCAACATGGGAGCAGCCGCCTGCAGCTCCTGCTCCGTCCTTGCCAGAGATCCACTTACACTGCTTTCAGACTCGCTGCGTTTTCCCTTGGACTTGCTCTTGCGCAGGCTGTTCATGTCGAACAGCGCCTTTTTTGGACTCGTTATGCGCAGTGTATTAAACATGGAGCTGCTGTTCTCCTTCTGCTTTTTCTTCGCTATGGTCAGGGCTGGCACATGTGGGTGCGGATGGAGCGGATGTGGGGACACGGGAGTGGGCGGCGTCGCAGGCGATGTTGCTTTCGGTCTCACCGAGGATCGAGGAATTGTGGCGAACGACGGCACCTCTGGCTTGGGCTGTGGCGGAACTGCGAACTTGAGGCTCACCGGCAGTCCGTAGGAAAAGCGCATGAAGTGGGCTATCAGATGTTCCACACTGGGCCAGTACGGACCGTCATCAATGTACAGAAACTTGGACTGCAAACAAAGTTTTTTATAAAACGGTAATTTAATCAATTTTCTGACAACTCACCCCGCCGGACTGCAACTTGACACCGTTCTGGTAGAGATCAGCTTGCGAAATACGAAAATTCTTGACCACCTGGTCGCTGAGCAAGGTCAGAACTAATCCAGAGGCTGCTGGCGACTCGGAGTAGCGAACCAAGAAGCACCCGGAAGTGTCAATCTGCGATTGCTTTGCCACCAGCTCCTTGGCATGCTTTTTGAGTATGGCCACCGCTTCGTCTCGGGTCAGAGTGCCATGGTACCACTGATCCCTGGTGGTATTTGCCGGTGGAAGCTTGTAGCCCAGCAGGAATTCCTCCACGGCCGTTTGGCCTGCCTCCTTGGCCAGATCAAAGGGGAATTCACCGGAACTGGTCCTCGGGAGCGGCGGAGCTTCTGCCAAAAGCAGTTCCTGCACAGCCTCCAGATTGCCGTGCTTGGCGGCCTCGTGCAGCGGCACATAGCCGTTTTCAATGTTCCTGCCCTGGACATTTGCCTGCGCCGATATTAGGGTCCGTATAAAACTGGCCGGCTTTGAGCGAGCGGCGTACTAGGGATTTAATTGGAAGGACTAGAAGAGAACTACATATCAGAGCAAAAAAAGGACACTCACGTGTAACGGCTGGCAGCCGAAGGAGTCGGAGCTGTTGACCTGGACCTTCGCATTCAACAGGTGCTTGAGAATATCCTCGTCCGAGTTGAGAGCCGCCAGATGCAGGGCCGTCTGGCCATCCTGGTTCTTGGCGTCGAAGTTCCGGTAGCCGCACTTGAGAAGCTCGAAGACCACCTTGCTCTCGTTCTTGCTGGTCGCGCGGTGCAGCAGATTAGTAACTCCGTGACTTCGAGTGTTGTGCGGTGGGGGATCTCGGATTAAAGGCACCGTCAGCTTGGAGGGCAGCCCATTGGCCGCTTGTTGATAGTAGTCCACCAGTGTGTCCAGACCGTGTAGGATCTTCGTCTGTACCTTGTCGTCGATGGAGAAAAAGGCGTCCTCACCGCCATGTCGCCGAATCTGGTAGTGGCAGACCTCCTCCTGGCAGAGCAGGCTCAGCACGAAGTCTCCGGTCGCCGTACTGCTTTCGCGCACCAGAAATGTCCCGTCCTCGTAACCTGCTGATTGCGATTAAAATTACTGTTCATTAGGGCTCACCACGCCCACATCCACGCGCTCATCTCTGCGATCTGGAGTCCAGGGGCCCTTCACCCAGACTCACCTTGCTTCAGAAGGTCGTCGGCTGCCTCGCGCGACAGGTTGCCGTGGAACCACTTCATGGGATCACTCATTTTTGGGCCATTATTTGCTCCAATCTTTTGGTTAATAATTTAAATTAATGTGACCCTAGGGGGACTTCCAAAAAATACCATTTGTGCTGAATGGCAAAGTAAGACCAGGCGAGCAGCGTTGCCAACTGTCGATAACAGAGTGTGAATTGGCGGCCTTTCAAATATATTATTTATCTTGTGGAAATTCCTTTAGTCATAGTGATCTATATAAAAATAAAAATATGGTTTTGAATGTATGACTATTCAAGACGTGATAACTTAAACTTCAATCCAGTGTAAGATTGAATCAATCTATGTTATGTGTATGTATGACTCCTCCAGAAGTGATAAGTTTATAAACTTCAATTCACTGTAAGATTGAATCAACTCAAGTTATATGGTTTCTCTTCTTTAATTGTTAAATCTTTTCAATTAGGGGAGAAAATATAAATTTAGGATGTGACGTTACCAGTGTACTATACAAAATCATACTTTATTTTGTTTTCCATCGCAAGTATATCATTTAATGCAAATTACCTGATTTTTTATTCCAATATCTATTACTTACGAGTATTTTATAAACCCCAGCAGCTTGTTACCAAAAAATTATAAGCCCATTGATACAAAATTAAATTAAATGTTTCTTATTTGTTGTATATTTAAATTTTCATGTTTTTTTTGTCTCTTTTATTTTCATTATGGAGGCTCTACTAAAACAAAGTATTAAATTATGGGCGATTATGTTATGTTACGATTAATTTTGCTTGTTTTCTCCTCGAATTCGTTTGCAGGTTATGTGAGAATAGTCTTAAGCATTTAAAAAACGACTATATGCTAGGGATACGGCATTAAAATTAATAAAAAAGTTTAGGTTATGAAATATGTATAATCATTTTAAATAGTTTATAATTAAAAATGTTGTATATAGTTCATTTCATTTCCTTTACAATGTACAAAAAAGTTAACGCAAAGCCATATAATTCATTTTAATTTAATTTATCTGCATATTTCTTAGATTTTTTCTTTTTCAGTTTTCAATTTCCTAGTAAGTATTGTGGCAACTTAAGTGACTAACGATACTTACACGAAAAATACATAATTATCCCCCCAAAGATATACACCCAAACACACTCGCCCCGAACAGCTCTAAAAGTCTGGCCCACCTTTGAACTTATTGGCTAAATTGCTTAAGCGCTTAGCATTTTCACTTGTGTTTTAGTTGATCCTGCTTCCAATGGTGTTGGGTTTATTCCACCGGAGCAAGTATTTTGAGGAGCTTTGTGCAAAACTACCATCAAACAATAAATTTCGACAATTCGCTATGACAAGGAATTTAATTCGTTTTTTGTCTGTCCCTTGTTTCTTGGTGTGGATGCTTTTGCTTCTGCTGCTGCCGTTGGTGAGCTTTTGCTTGGTCCTTCGCTGGCTGCTGTTCCATTTATTCTGCTGTTCGTTCCATTAAGAGTAACTAGATTCTAATGTAGAACAAAATGGTTAAACGTATCATATATCGAAGCATTTAAGAAATCCGCGTTGATCTTGATCTGTTAATGTTCTGCTTTACATTTATGACTTTTTCTTTGTTGATTTTTGTTGCTGTTATTGTTGTTGCGGCTAAAGCCGGTGCTGATGCTGATATTGATATATATTTATATATGTGGATTTTATTAATTAGCTATTGAAGAGAGCTTTTGGGAAACTCCATTCACAGTCTTTGATTTAAGGACATCATTTTCATATGAAAAGACAGTTTCCTTGCCGTTCTCGACGACTCTGCAAGAGAATGAGAAAGAATGTAACGCATAGTTTTTGCATAGTTTAAGAGACTTTTCTTACCGCTTGGTCATCAGTTTCTTGCCATTAACAAACACCGTCGAGGTGGAGGTGCGCTTGACCCCGCCGGTGGGGCCACTGGAGAGGTGGGTGATACCGCTACTGCCATTACCGCTTGTCATCGACGAGAACGGGGTAAAGGCGTTGGAGAAGTAGTTGATCCCGAACGGGCTGACGAATTTGTGCTGGTGGGGATGATGATGCCGAGACGCACTGCTGCCGCCATTGCGTCGACTGCTGCTCGAGCTGCTCGTGCCATTAGAATATCCGTTGGGATCTGAAAAACAGTCAAGATTAGTGAGCTCTGAGTTGGGCGGTTGACAGGTAAAAAACAAACCTCTGAAGAACTCGGCGAAGGTCGCGTTTACTCCGAAGCACTCGCGGAATACCTCCTCTGGCGGGCGGAAGATAAATGGAAAGCCGCCCATAATATCAAAGTCATCGAAATCGTGTGTGCTGTAGTGGTGGCGGGAATGCGACCGACTCTGTGCACGTTCACCCAGCCCATCCTTGCCGTACTCGTCGTAGATGCGTCGCTTCTTTTCTGTGAAAATAAATTGGAAAACACGATAAGTCAAGGTAGAGCATTGAACTTCCATTTAATTAGTAATAAACGCTCGAGCTGCTTGGGGTTAGCTTAGATCTAACATAGAACTAGTGATGGGATAGGTGCTTTTTGCTGTTTACCTAGGTAAGTTACAAAATATATGCTGTAAATAGCATATATTATATATAAATATACTGTTGTAAAGATTATGCCATATTTTAGAACCTTAAAAGTGTAAAAAGAATAAAAATGCAGATTTTAAAACAAATTTTTTTTAAGGTGTAAGAACTTGGAAAAAGTTATATTATGTCTTTTAGTTATTTAAAATTCAAAATTAGTTTATAACTGTATCGAAAATAAAAATAAATAAAACGGCAAAAAGTACCCCATATTTATATTTGTAACACAAAATGTATAGATGGTTCCCATCACTGCAAGGAACGGCGTTTAGTTGCGAAAAGTATGAAACAAAAACAAGAACGACGTGCGCCAGGATGTCAGTCAGCAAAACCATAATAACGAAACAATTGCAACGCTTCTGCTTCAGGCTTTACCGAACAACTTGTGAAAAGGAGTGCCCTCGAAAAAGTTACGGAAGGTGAAGGCCTGGTAGCGGTTGCCGGATCGCCTGCCGGAACCGGATCCGTAGCCCGACCCCGGATAGTAGTCGTAGTCGTAGTCCCGGCCATATGACGAGGATCCTCCGCTCCCACTGCGGTAGCGGGAGTAGGAGCTGCTGTTGCTGCTGCTTCCGGTGGCCGAGGACTTGTGCAGCGTGGCACGGGCATCATAGACCCTGCGCTTACGGGCTAAACACACAATAGAGACTTAACATTGGTTCCGCCAAGAATCACGGATCGGCCATTGCGTGACCCCCTTCCTTGTTTACGCATTCGAAGTTAGGGTTACTTCTGTTCTCTAGCGGGAACTTACCATCGGATAGGACTTCGTAGGCCTCGGACAGCTCGTGGAAGCGTTTGTTGGCCTCGTCCAGGTTGTCCGGATTCTTGTCTGGGTGCCATTTCAGCGCTAATTTCCGATAGCTGTGAATAAAAAATATTGTTATAAGTTCGTTAATAAATAGCATATGAAATTTATTAGTTTCAATTTAAAATACCCCAGATTCCTCTGAACCAATTTAAAATACCCCAGATTCCTCTGAACCAATACGTTTAAAAATCTTAATCACAAACTAGTAGATATTCAAACATTTAAAATAATAATATTTGAGATGATTTTCAGAGGAATTGCAAATGGGGACTCCCCAAAAATATCTTAAAAGTCGGTTAATGTCAGCTCTCGACCGGAAATAAGTTGGCAAGTTTTTCCCTAATGGATAGCAGTTTATTTGTTTACTTACGCCTTTTTCACCTCACTGTCGGTGGCTGAGCGCGGCAGATCCAATACTTTATAGTAGTCCACCATTTCACAGATGTGTATTCGACTTCTTGGTGGCTATGCCCTGCTCTTATTTTTCAGTGCTTGCTTGGCCAGCACAAATCCAAAGCGATTGTTTTTTTTTGGTCGGATCCTCCTCTGGCTTCTGCAAAGATAAACAATCAAAGAGGCGTGTTAGTTGAGTACTCTATAAGTGGCTATATAGGATATGTGTACCGTTGGATCAGTCAGCACTCGACAGAATTTAATTTCGGTTTTGTTTTTGATTTTGTTGCCGAAAAAGCAAAGGCGACATAGAAAACATAAACAAATAGAGGGACACACACGAATGGGAGTAAAGCAAAGTCAAAGACAGCTTGGTTTGCATGGGCCGCCGACACTTTTCAATTTTTTCGAGTTCAATGTCGTTCGAAAACCCCATTATGCCATCGCCCACACACGCAAACTGCTAACGAAAGAGACCGAAGAAGTACATGGAAAAAAAAGTTCAAAGATCAGAAAAAATAAAAAGATCGTAGATGAGAAAACTTATAAGATCATAAAAATAACAAAGTAGCTAGCAAATTAGATTAAAACAATTGATGATCACAGAAGTTTTTGATTGGAAATAAAAATAATATCATGTTGCTTAGGTTTCAAGCCTTTGAAGCAAATCAAATCAATAAAAAAATCTATAAAATAGGTTTAAAGCGACCTTACGTTTTCTTCTGTGTAGACAGAAAGAGAGAGGGAATACATGGCGCATGTGTAGGGCGCTCAGTTAGCCGTCCATCAACTTTTGGGGCAAAGTTACTCAAGCGTTTTCCGCCCCTCTCTCGCATCTCGAGACCCAGATATCCATCTCCCCTCGCTCCGTTCATTTTCGTGCAAAATAGTCGCTAATTTTATTTAATTTGTATTGTTGCTTTTGTTGGCCCGCTCGTTGTCATGCAGCCCCTTGACACAATTTGGCTTGATTTCATGCGCGAGTGTTTTTTATCAACATTACAGCGGGCAATTGTCAGATGTTGGCTTTTGAGGAGAAAAGTGCTTGGCTTAAATTAGCCCTCGGGCCAAGTGACATGACAATTTGCATTTACACACTTGCCGCCAATTTCAAACTCAACTGAACTGAACTTCAAAACTTGTTGTTCGACTGACCAACATTGATGGCCTGTGTTTATGTTGCTCTCGGTGTGGGTTGAATCTCGAGATTCGGTTCTTATGGGCGGTTCACTCGATTTGTTCGTGTTTATACTATTTCACATTTTTGTGTGATCTAATTTATGGCTTTCGATGGGGTGCGTGTGCGTAGCGTCACATTAATTTGTCTATTAACATGCGCTACAGCGAAATGGATTAAAGATATTATATATGTTTTTAAATATACATATTCATATAATATAAGAAACGCACCGAATATATATGAAATGCATTCGAAAACTATATATTTTAAGTTAAGTACAAATCAACTACTTTTTTTCCTATGGACATTCATTAAAGTTTTTAAAACTTATCAGAATCACCCACCCTACTGAATCATCCTTGAAGATGTTTTAAATCAAACCATTAAAAGCTGTCATTTTCGTCTTATAAACAAAAGCCTGACTCAGCAACTATAGAGTCCTGCAATAAAGTTTATGATGAACTGTTTAGGGACAGGACAAAGAGCCTTGTTTAATTTTAATTAGTTTTTATCCTATGCATTCTTCGATGTCCCAACAAAATAATTCAGGTTCCACCGAGATTTGAACTCGGATCGCTGGATTCAGAGTCCAGAGTGCTAGCCATTACACCATGGAACCACCGTATTGTCCCTGAGCCAGTTATCCTTTTCTGACCAGGAAAATCGCAGTGCGCATGCTGCAAGTGGGTGGGAAAGGCCGTGGTGGCTCCCGTTACAAAGGCCCCTGAACTTTGGGGGCGCGAATTCTCATGCAAGTTCGAATCGCCATACTTTATTTACACTTTCACACTTTCCGTTTCGTTTGCTGCAGTGGGATTAGTGTTCCCACATGTTGCAAAATACTGAATACCACCCCAGATTATAAATACAAATCGAAAATTAAATTTTTGAGGAAGAGAAGATATAACATAAATAAAATTAAATGAATTCCCCTGTTTATTTATACAAACATCGACAAACATATAGACAGACGTAGCGTATATAGGAAAATAGAGATATAGCCAGGGGTATGTGTGTGAGTAGTTTATTCGCTTTACGGCTAGCTATAGAGTATATACCTGTTGACATATTCGGCAAATTCTAGGTCGTAGGTGTAGGAACTTGTAGCATTGTCTAAAAGCAGCAAATGACGACGACGCCGCGACTGCCGCTGACGTTTCTGCTGGCCAGCCATCCGCATGACACACACGTCAGCGGAGGAGACGGAATCGGAGGAGCTGGGGAGCCAGACGAGGAGACAGGTGAGTAGGGAGGTGGAAGAGGATGCCGAGCGGCAGGGAACGGAGTGGAAGACCTGCTTACTCTGGCTTGGATTACACTGACTACCGCCATCGGCTGACTCAAGTCGAATGGAATCGGTTGGAATCGAAACACTGGCTATCTGCGAGAATATATCTTGTGGCAGTCACTCAGCACCTCGCCATCGATCTGTGGGCGTCTGCGGCATTTAAGGCATTTGCCGGTTTATTCAAATAGCTAAAAGATTTCTTTGCTTAAACAATCAGATGCCCTCGGCGAAGCAGATAGTTTAACGGGGTTACTTTCGGCTTTTGAAACCCCTTCAACATGCCTATGCATACATATGCCAAAGCCAAGGTGCATATTTGAACTCCAAAGAAAAAAATAAAAAAAAACATTACTTTCTTTTGATATCAAAAAAATAAAGTCTTTAATTCTTTAGACACGGAAAATGTTTAGGGTTTATTAGAGTGAGGTTTAAAATCAGATTGCAACGCCAACACTTTACGACTCTATTAACCCAAAAATAAACATTAACATGATTGTGTGTCGAATTTAAATTCCAAATATGTGACACGACTTTAAAGTTCCATTGTATAATTAGGTCATTTAAGTAGGGGTTGTTCTTTGATAAAAAAAAACGAGATTTAATTATAAAAAAATTATCACAATTTACATAGAAGACTCCCAAATGTAAATGAGGAAATTAAGGCGAATTCAACACGTACTAATACGTCAATCTAAACTGGTTTTTAAATATCAAACCCATTTCATCACTGTGATGATTCACAGTGTGAAAAATTCCGTTACAGATCGTTCTTTACAGAACGGAGTCATAAGTGTAAGGTCACGCAACTGATAAAAAATCAAATCACTGCTTAAATATTGCCATTGCAGTGTATTTATAATATTTTATTAGGTGAATCACTGTATTTTTACTCATAAAATAAAAAATAGCAAATATTAGTAAGCCATGAGCTCTTGATATTTGAATCGTCTGGATGAAATTGTATTTTTCAAAACAAAGAAGATACAAGAATTAAGTGTTTAAACTCTTTGTAGCAGTAAAATATTTATTTAGTACACAATCTAAAATGTAATAATAATTTTTAGTAATATTATATTTACTACCAAAAAAATATACAGATCTACAAAAATATTTAGGCTGTTAGTAGCTTATGAATTTGGATATATTATTTAAAATCTTTGGTGGAACTCTGTAGGTATTCATATTTTTCGGTGTAGCCCACACTATTTAGCTCTACTCATCGCAGTGTTTATTTATTTATTTACGCGTATCGGATTCAAGCCGCTTTAATCACAAACTCGAGGGACTCCACATGCAACAAGTGTGTTTAGCAGAGAGAGCAAAAACAACATGCTGCCTACATGGCGCAGTTTTAAACCTGAAGTCACTACAAAAATTATGTATGCGGTTAGTCTGCGGTCTTGTCTTCAAAAGCCAAATGTTTGTTGTTATCTGCGATTTTGGTTTTGTTGTTGTTTATGCAAATTACATCACCATCGATATGGCGTCTTTGCACTGAGATTTTCTTCACACTTTTCAATTTGTTGCCTTGTCGCTGCGATTAAACTTGAATTGTGTCACCGCATCGATAATGATAAGCAAACAACAAGGCGGAGACACAGCGATAAAGTTGGATAAAGGTGGGAGAAGGAGGAGTAGCAGACAATAACAGTTGGTTTTTCTTTTTACATGATAGCTCATTTTGGTGCTAATTTTGCCATAACCTACATACACAATTAAACTTTTTTCTGCAATCACACACATTTACACACCACACGCACACAATCAAGCGTGCGATAAGAAAACGCTGCGCATTTATATTTAACATTTATTTTGATGAAAAGTCACGCAATGAGCGATGCACTCCCACTTTTTATATTTACATTGGTCGCCTTTTAACCAGCAATGGGTACTCTCGTTTTTAACTTAATGCTACGTTTGTACTCGAAGTCGAAACTGCACATTATAAAACAAAAACACGGAAAACGCAGCGAGGTAAAAAGTGTTAAATTAATAAAAACTTTTGCAGCCGTTCGCGGCAGCGATTCGTTGAGAATTGAATGCCAGGCAAGAAAAAACTGAGAGATCAAACAAGAGAGAGAAACCAGCTGACGGCATTGCCATGCTTTAATTTCAGTCTTGTGGGGAAGAAATCCCCTCTCTTTGACGCTCCAAGGCCCACAATTGTTAGTGTTGTACCTCCTCACCGGAAGTTGTTACGTTGATTCTGGCAAAAAGCGTTATCTCCTCGATGTCATTTATCTTTCGGGTGATTTCGCTATCAGCGTGTGCCATAAATTCAAGGCTGATCAGTTAATTTTACTGTTCCGCTGGTTAAGTCCCCTTTTCCAACGTGATTAATCTTCCAGTTTCCGCCGAAATCGTTTCTCCTCCACCTAGACTCATTCCAATATTCATCGAAGAGATGGGGCGTTCATTTGAATAAAGATGGGTTTTATGGGCAAATGGCCAAAGTTTATAACGTTATAAAGGCGGCAGAGCGGAGCCGAATGTAAAAGCGACAAATTTAAATATTTAATTTTAGAATTCTCACGACAAGTCGTTGACGCCGGTCGACACTGGTCGAAAGTTGGGGTCAGACAGGAATTACAAGGATCAGATAAAATAATCGTAAAGCTGATTCAATAACACATGGAATATTTTGACCAAAGTCTTCAAAATTGAACTCCGCTTTGTTAATTAATTAGGCTTTTAAAATAAATTTGTTTTAAACTTTTTAAGGTGCAATATCACTAAGGATTTTTCCAGATATAAAACAACAATCAGTTTTATTTTCTATACATATTAGTACAATAACGAGGACGGAAGCTAACTTCGGCAAGCCGAAGTTTTAATACCCTTGCAGACTTTGCCGAAATTGCTAAAACTGAAAAAGTAGCCAAAGGAATAAGGTATACATAAATAAACTAGATTTTCATCGTTTAATGTCAATTGCTTTTATACTGCAAAAATGTCATATAAAAATAGAAAAAAAGGGATACTTTCGCAGCCTTTAACTATTTTTCCTACGGAAGCTATAAGAAATAGACGTCCGATCGGCAAGCGCTTTTACCCTAATCAAGATATGCGTAAATAAATAAGACTTGGAAAAATTTATGTCAGTAGCTTACACACTACGCGAAAAATTCAGAAAATCATCAAATTTGGACCGATTTCACCCTGTTGTTCCTATGGGAGCTGTAGGATATAGACGTCCGATCTTCACGTGCTTTTATCATAATCAAGGTATGCATAAAAAAATACGATTTGGAAAGATTCATGTCAATTGCTTATATACTGTGCGAAATATCCTAAAAATCATTAAATTTTAACCGATTTCACCCTATTGTTCCTATGGGAGCTATAGGATATAGACGTCCGATCGCCAAGCGCTTTTACCCTGATCAAGGTATGCATAAAAAAATAAGATTTGGAAAGATTTATGTTAATAGCTTTTACACTGCACAAAATATCTTCCATTCTTGAAAGTTATATCCGATTGTTCCTATGGGAGCTATAGGATATAGACGTCCGATCAGCACGCGCTTTCACCTTGATGAAGGAATGTATAAAAAAATACGATTTGAAAAAATTTATAGCAATAGCTTTTACACAGCGCGAAATATTCTGAAAAACATAAAATTTGGACCGATTTTACCCTATTTTTCCTATGGGAGCTATAGGATATAGACGTCCGATTGCCACGCGCTTTTACCCTGATCAAGGTATGCATAAAAAAATACGATTTGGAAAAATTCATGTCAATAGCTTTTACACTGCGCGAAATATCATCAATTTTTGCTAGATATATCCGATTGTTCCTATGGGAGCTATAGGATATAGACGTCCGATCGGGGCGATTTTCAAACTTGATCTGCGTACACATGTTTTAGGACGCGTGTGAAAGTTTCAGATCGCTAGCTTTTAAACTGAGCTCACAAACGGTATTGAAACAGACGGACAGACGGACAGACGGACAGACGGACAGACGGACAGACGGACATGGCTATATCGACTCCCCTATTGATCCTGATCAAGAATATATATACTTTATGGGGTCGGAAACGTCTCCTTCACTGCGTTACAAACTTCTGACCAAAATTATAATACCCTCTGCAAGGGTATAACAAATCGTAAACCACTGTGCCGACCACAACAGCAGGTAGGAGGGAGGTGCGCGAAATGTAGTGCGAAAAATGTTGAAAAGTTTATAAATTGAAATTTTTATATAGCACCACACAAACGCAACTTATTTTGGATGTGTGGGAATATATTTTTAGTTTGGTGGGAAGAGAGAATTGGTCATAAATATTGCGGAAGAAAAATATTAATGCAGAGCAGAAAAAACAAAAACATTGACGTGTTTTGGGTGGCGAGGGAAAACCGCGAGCAAGTTTAGAGAAATTGGAACAGCGGGTAAATGGTCAGTAATTATTACGGGAACATAACACAAATTAAGCAGGTAGCGAATCAAAAAGAAAGCAGGGAAAACAGACCAAACAAAAGGCAACCCAGGTGGAAATTCGCCAAATTGCACAATCCAAGGAAAGCTCGAGAAAAGAGAGGGAAAACAACAGCAGCGACAATGCAATGCCATGTGAAGCAACAGAACAAGACCTGAGAAAAGCCTCACACAAGACCTAGAAATAGACACGTGGGCGTGGGAATCAATCTATTTATAAGTTCCATGCCCGCAGCTTTTCCCCCATGAAAACATGAAAAAGTGTTGTAAGTGTTACAATAGCAACAGCAGAAAAAGCCAATGCTGATTCATCCGCAGCTGGCGGTTCCCCGCTGGCCAAATGATTTTTAATAGACTCACTTGGGCTCACAGTTGTAATATTATCAAATCTATTGGATCTATAGCCGAGGGGATTGCCCTCTTGTCTTTTTTTGTGGCGTACTGCACTATATTCGTATCTGTATCTAATCAAAGGCCTTTCTCACTCTTCGATTGTTTGTTCGCCGCATAAATAAAAAAAGCATTTTGATGTAAATTTCGAAATGATCTGTGTAATTTTTGTGGCCGCTGTTGGAGTTTTGCGGTTCCAAAACAGAAGAGGGAGATGCGGAAATGTTCTTTGGGCAGGGTCTGTGGTCATGTTCGGTTCATGTGGCTTTTAATGTATATGGAGGGCGTTACATTTACTTTTGGAGGCTTACCCAAATCACAAGAGCACAAGTGACACGCCCAGGCTTACACTATTTTATTTGTTTTATTTATTATAATTAGGGATTCAAACAAATACATTTCTGAAAAATCACCATGGTCAATATAGCAAATCTATCATATTGTTGCAATCTAGCAAATTCCTAAAAACTGCAGTACATACACTCTTCGGCAGAACTCTTGCTAAAAATACACTAAAAAGAATATGTAAATATTTGGCTTCTTGTTTATTGTGTCGGAAAACACATTCCGGCAATGCAGAAGTTGAGACGCACTCTGATCTAATACAATCAGGCCTTATGTGTACATCCTCTTTTATTCAGTCTACCAACTCACCCCGTTTGTGCGGGTGTAACAAACGGTCGTGTCCGAGTCATCCAGTCATAAAACACCAAAACTAAATAAGGCAAGTCGAGTTTAATACCAATACCGCCCGACGGCGGTCGGTCACATAAAAACTACCCACCATCGATCGAGAAATAAACCTGTAGCCCGAGATCAGACAGACAGCCGGTGATGATCTCAATACACGACGGTTGATTTGTGGAATCATCGCAGCCACTAAGAAGACCTCAAACGTCCGACTTTGCTCCACTCGGCGGGTTCAACGCTTCCTTGTGCGATATATACATAAATCTAAGCCACAGATGATAGCCATCTTCTCAGCTCATTCAGCGCTACTGTGCAGCTATTGCACAGAAAAAAATTAGATTGTGGATCATAAGCTTATGAAAATATATATTATATTCTGCTTATTACAAGAAAACTTATAAACAAAACTGTTAACGCCAAATTTAAGATTTTTTATATGTTTTTATATATATCACTTTAACAATTATTTCACACTTTTAGTTTTTTGTTTCAGTACACACTGCATACTGCATCTAGATCAAGTCCGGTGGACATGGACTTCCACTGTATGCCACAACGAGAAGTCAAGCCTGGCTGCTTGCTTTTGTTTTTTTTTTTTGTCGAATGTGCAACTTAAAGCGTATGTTGCATTGACAATGAAGTTATTAAAGCGCAAAACCACATCCACCTGCGGCTATTTTTCTTTTAGTCGGTTTCGGGCGGAAAGATGTGATTAGCTTGCACTAGGAAAAATAAAAAACGAACTCGGCCGTCCAAACATAAACGTCTCGTCAGTCCACTCTATAAATTCACCTGATACTACTTTAACTTTTTATTGGCGAAAGTAGGAAACCATTGAAACCCCCATCAACACAATTCAAGTCTAAAATTAAAGGGCAGCGTGATTGATAGCTTTAATTTGAGTTTGGTATCGACTTGAGTTGCCCATTTTGTAGCAAGTAGCTCGATAGTTAACGTGTGGATTGCCTACATTTCCCAATTAGATAAACCGCAGGCCAGACAAAAAGTTACGGGGAAAAGATATTGGCTCACGAAGATGGGTTTCTGTTTGGGCAACACTTGTTAATTTGATATGTGGGTATAGCCACAGGTGTTCAGTGTTCTAGAGGCGATTTAAGAGCCGCCAGTCACGTAAGGTTTTTTAGTGTCTGAGTTTGCCGGATGACATTACTTTTTCAAGTTAAATGGCAATTCGCCTATAAATAAACTTAATATAATTTGTGAGCTCAATAAAATGTTTGAAAGTATGCTGCTAAAGATTATTTATATGTTAATTCTACAGTATGAAGTTTTAATTAAAAGTGTACAGTATTTTAATAGTACTATTTTAATTTTAAGTTATCGTTAGATGGTTATAAAAGAAGAAGTATTTAAAATTAAATTATAGCTGCCAAATTTTTTGTACAACAAAACGATAAGACCAAATGATTAATTAATTTTGAAATTATACCCCACTTCCAATCTTTATCTGCCATTTCCTATGACGGCTGTAAAATAATTTAGAAACTCTCCAT